CCCTGTACACATAGGAAGGCTGAAGTACACAGAGGTTAAGTGTTTTGCCCAAGGTTGCACAGCAGAGATGGGACTAGAACCAAGCTCACTTACTCTAACAAAGAGGCAACATGGTCCACAGGTTGGAGCGGAAGTCTAAGAGCTAGGATATTTTGACCCTCTGGCTTTTGTCAAATGACTGAAATTCTGTGTCCCAGTTACCTTATTTACCTTATGTGTGATGTGAAGTAGATCATCATTACTCCCACTTGTGGGTAGGATGGTAAATAAATCATAGTTGGTTGTGTGATTGCAGAGTGGATAAATTGATTTAAAAAAATCAATTTTTTATTTAATCTTAACTAAATGCAGGTTTACTTAACCTATTTAAGACTAAGTTTGAAATTAACTTACGTTAAGTCCAAAAATTATTATAATCTATTAAAATCCATTTCAATTAAATTCAGAAAATAATATCAAGGAGTACACGTTTGTTGCCATATTTTAAAGAAAGTCAAAACACTGAACTGTTGGAAGAGGTTGCGTGTGCCAGCTTTTGACAGCAGTAACCCCCTTTGCTGGTACAGAGAGAACATTTTCTTCAGTCCAGTTTATTCAACTAGTTAAATCCAATTGAGAGTTGAGAAAGCAGGAAAGCTTTCTAATCCAATCCATGAATAAAAAGTAGGCGTGAGCGGATGAAATCTACCAGTTCTGAAATCTTGAAGGACATGGTGGCCAGAAACAAGCAGTTCACTTCGCTAACTACAATAATACTTCCTTTGTTTAATAAATCACTTTTAAATGCAAAATGAGTCTTGATTTTTTTCCCCTACAAATTGATTTTTTCATATGTATCGATTATGGTTAAGGTAGTTTTATTTAATAGTGGTGTGCAAATCTCCTGTTTCCTTCACCTCTAATTTGGTTATTTCCTTTCTCACCACCACACCCTGGGTGTGTAATGGTAGCTTTCTTGGGATGAAGCCCAGAAAGGAGAGGACTGAGGTGCAGTTTCCCAGGGCTCGGGTAATTGAGCATGAAAGTTTGACTTGCTCTTACATTGGCACGGCTGAAATGGAAATGGAGATTGGAGCGGTTTAGATTTGGAACAGAAAACATTTTTGTTGCTTGGATGCAGGAGTACAAGTTGATCTGAGGATGCGCTTGTAGGCAAATTTAGGCCTCATAGTTCACCACCTCATGTAGACAGGGCAAGGTAGTATTTTGCCCACTATGTTCTCTCCCTGATCTGGGCAGGGTTGTGGGATGAGAGGCCAGCAGTTGGGGCATGCTCTCCTTTTCCTGGAGAAGACTCAGCCAGAGCA